GGTGGCAAAGGCGCCCGATTCTCCGATCATGCCTTTGCCCTCTCCCCCTGCTCTTAGCTCCCCCCTGGGTTTCTGATCACTGTCAGTGGCAGGGGGCTTATTCCTGCTTTCCCTTTCGCCTCCCTGCATTGTGCCTACATATGCAAATTAACCGCCATTTTGTTGTCAGTTAACTGCCATCTGAGTTGGCAGTTAATTTGCATATAGCCCTGATTAGCCAATGAAAAGGGTATCGTCATACGCCAATTACCATTTTTCTCTTTTATTATATAGGAGATATAATCATAATATGTTGTTATTATTAACATAATATAATATATCTTGGTTTCTAACCAGATATCAGGAGTGGTCTTTATCCTTAATTTTCCAAATTGTCCTGTTCTTAAGATTGTTGTAGTGGTGGGAGGCCCTTTTCTTATTAGGATTTCTTAAAAGATTGGGAAATCTCGCATGAAAACGTTATAGCTTGCTCTCTAACCAGCATCTTTGTGGGCTGCAGGTGAGAGCCACCTTGGAAAAAGTAAGGAAGCGGATGTACGGAGACTATGATGAAATGAGACAGAAGATTCGGCAGATCACCCAGGAGCTGTCAGTAAGTCAATGTCTGGGTGATGTGGGAGTTCGGAGGGGTGACAGAGCCTAGAGCCCCCTCTCAGTGGCCAGTGTTGGAAGACATTTGAGCTTATGATGCTCTTTATGAGTGGGATCATGTTTTAAATGAACGGAGGGAATTTTATTACAGAATAAAGTTTATCATTTAAAGGATTTTTTTTTTCCGTGCAAGAATACTCTTCCTTATATCAAAGTATTCCCTCCAAGTTCAGGAAGAAAAGGAAGCCAGCTGTCACCATATTAATTATCATTGTGTTTGAGGTGCTAGCCAGTGGAATTAAACAAGATAAATAAATTTAGAGGTATAAAAACTAGATAGGTAGGTATAAAACTATCACTATTTATAAACTATATGATTATGTACCTAGAAAGCCCAAGTGATTCAATGAAAAAAACTACTATAAACAATAAAAGAAATCTGTAAAGTAGCAGGGTGAAAAATTAATAGATACAAAGAAAGAGGTTTCAGTGTATAAAAACCAACCAGTTGGAAGAAATAACAGCAACAACAACAAAAAGAACCTACCAAATATCTAGGAGTAAACAGTAACAAGTGGAAAGACATACCATGTGCTGAGAATAGAAGATTCAACATTATAAAATGTCAGTACTATCAAGCTAATATACAAATTTAACATAAGCCAAAATCCAACCGATTTTTATTTTAAGTTGTTTTTCTACAACTGGAACCGGTGATTTCAAGGAATATAGAAAATAAATATGAAGAGTTGGGGAAATTCTGGGGGGAAAATACCAATGAGGGAGACTAGCCCTACTACCATTACAAGAAACTGAAAAAGCCCCAGAAATTAAGACAGTATAGTATTGGCACATAAATAAATAGGCATCAGTGAAAAAAATCTAGAAATGTATCCCAATGTGTGACAAATGTAGCATCTCATATAAAGGGAGGAAAATGGACCTGTCAGTGTATACTGTGGTGACAACTTATGTACTGCTGGGACAGAATTATATATGAATCAATTCCAGGGAAATTATATCTCTACAATAGAATACAGAGTTGTAAAAAAAAAAAAAGAGAGAGAGAGAGAGAGAATGAAAAGAATGACTAAGCTCGTCAAAAGAAGATGGAACGATTACAAAGATTATAGAGTAGATGATGAAAAAGCAAGATTCAAGATAATGTAATGTAATGTAATGCTACCACTTATGTAAAACAGGGAGGGTAAATAAATGTATCTAGATTGTTTTTGCGTGTGCACAAAAAGTTGCTAAAAACATAAGGAAGTAATGAATTCTTAATTGAGTGATTCTTAATTGAGGCAAATTGGGAAAGGCGATAACTAAGCAGATGAGACTGGGAGATTTATTTTAGTGCATACCTCTTACACTTTTTAAAAGTTTGAACTATGTGACTGTTACTGCATCAAAATTTAAGAAAAGACAACCTTCCTCTGATTTAACCAAGCTAACGCTTGTGAGAAAGTTAAAAAACAAAATTTGTGATTAATAATCTTGAAGAAAAAAGTCTATGTGTCTATGACATATTCTCCATAAGAGTTAGTCATTGCAGGACCGGAGCACAGTTACAACAGCCACACAACAGAGTTTACTTTATGGCTGGCTATGAGAGTATCTGCTTAAGTAAGACCTACTGCCTTGCTCAAAGGGGCAGGGGTTTATAAACACACATCCACCCAGCCATTCTCCCTGGCAGGTAGGAAGCGATTTGTAAAATTCCCTCCTACTAATGGAAATTCACTCAGCTATCCAGTGACAGACACTAACACCTTTAATTAACACTGAAGGATTGGATTTGCAAAGATGAATAAACAGGTCTCGGCTCACCCTTGTTGTCTCATGGCAGAACTGTCACAGGAGCTTGTCTCTCTGCCTACGGCCTCCTCCTCCTCCAGGCCACACCACACACTGCAGCCAGACTGATTGCTAAACTCCTGCTATGTGAACACGCCCTGAACAACAGCACGCCGCCCGCTCCGGGTCCAGGCGGGCTGTTTCAGCTCTCTGGCCCATCCCCAGGGTGCACCTCCTTCTGTATCATGCTGGCTGCTTTCTGTGGCTCTCACAAGGATCACCCTTGAGTCTACCCAGATCCCTTCCCCTAGCTCTGCTGCCTCCCTGCCCCGCTCTAGCCAGCCCTCCTAAAAGTTCTAGCTCAAGATGGGCCTCTGATGAACTCTCTCAGAGTATCAAATGCACACACCCAACCAAGACACCCCAACAACAGCAGCAGCCACAAAACAACTCTTGAGAATGGGGTGAGCCCAAAGTACATTCTTTCTAGGGTGGGTAGAAAGAACAATAGGGCCAAGAAGATATTCCAACTGGGTTCGAGTCCCAGCCGTGCCACTTCTTAGCCCTTTGTGTGCTAATTCCTTACCTTCTCTGATTCTGTTTCCTGCCACATAGTGTTGTTGTGAGGGCTGAGGCCCAGTAGGTGAATGTGTACAGATTATCTGAAGGAAAAATCTTCTTGTCTCTCTGGTCTCTGGGTCCTGCAGATGTTGACTTTTCAATTTGAACTGTCATTGAGGTGGATGTGGCTACTGTCAGGAGACTGTTCCAGCCCACACAAAGGTTACTGGGGGTGTCTGGGTTGGTTCCGTGACACTGTCTCTTCTCTCTGCCCAGGTTTCGCAGGCGCAGAAGGACTACCTGGAGAATCACATCGAAGCACAGTCGTCGGCCCTGGACAGCTTCAATGCCACGAACTCGGCGCTGGCGTCAGACTCCATTGACCTGCAGGTATTCCTCTCTCGCTGGTCGGTGGGGCCCGTCTGTTGGAGGGCAGGCCTAAGCAGAATGGCCCTGTGGTCTTGTAGCAACAAATGCGAGTCACAGAATGCCCTCAGCGCCTCACGCAGAACCTTTAAGCTTGGCTGCCGTCGAGGCCATGCAGGGAAGACGGTGCAGGAAACTGAGGGAAGCGCTTCCAAGCTGAGCCTTAAACCAGTGGTTCTCAACCTTCCTGATGCCGCGACCCTTTGATACAGTTCCTCATGTTGTGGTGACCCCCATCCATAAAATTATTTCCGTTGCTACTTCGTAACTGTAATGTTGCTACTGTTATGAATCATAATGTAAATATCTGATATGCAGGATGGTCTTAGGCGACCCCTGTGAAAGGGTTGTTCGACTGCCAAAGGGGCCGCGACCCACAGGTTGAGAACTGCTGAAAACCTCTGTGTTGCAGTTGTTTTCTCCTCATTAAAATGGGGGGTTCAGGTCCTGCATTCCATGCTGGAGATGTCACATGCTCCCCTAGATCTCCCGCAGCCCTGGTTTACAGGAAGTTCCACCCAATCACAGGACAGAAGGCAACCTGTGTTCATGACTGGCTGTTAAGCACTTTTTCCTAATTTAGAAATTATTTTGCATGAAAAGAAATAATATGCATTTTAAAGAATCTCTTGTTTAGAGATCTTTTCTCTAAAGCCTCAGGATCTTACATTTATGCAACTGTGTGTGTCCACCCCTTCAAGGGGCTTGCTCTCTTGATTAATTTGATTTGCTGGGAGTTTACTCCTCAGGTGCTGCCCATTGCTGTTCTTCCAACTGAGCCCCCGCCCCCATCTAACATGCAAATTACCTTGAAGACGACCAGAACAACGCATGTATTCACCTGAAGCTGCGTCCCATCCCATGGCTTTAGTTTTTAAATATGCAAACAGTAGTGTCTGCCCCACCTCCAACTATATGTGGCTCTTATCTTTCCCCCTCCTCTTAAGAGTTCCATAAGCTATTTCACATCCTCTCTGGTTCCATACAAATAACTTCTCAGATAAGCAAACAGATTTCCATGTTAGGGTTACCCACTTCCCCTAGAACCTGGTGTTCTCTAATAACAGCTCTGGGGCAGCATGGCCACAAACAAAGCGAGGCCAGTGTCCCATAGCGGGCCTGGGCGGGCCCCTTGTTTGGATGTGTCTGGGAGCCTGTTTCTGGTGGGGCCTCTGTGTCCCACCCTTTTCCTGGCTCCCCATCCCGCATGCCCGCTCCCCTGGCCTCAGGCCAGGCCCTGCTTGACCCGGCAGCCTTTGTTTTCCCTGACTCCTGCCATCGAGGGGGCTCACCCAGGCTCCCTCTCCTTCCCTCTTGGACATCTCATTCCCGGCCAGCTGTGCCTCACCCGATTTCACACCTGGTCGGTATCTGTGCTGTTTCTGGGCTTTCTTCCCCATGATCCTTCTGATTTGCTATCTTGCTGTCACTTCAGGCATTTACTCCGGAGGTCAGCTCTTAGGACATGGTCAACCATAACCCAGGTACTTGACTGATTCCCAGTTATGGTCCAGCCTCTTAGTCTTGGGCCAACAGAGGAACCTTATAAGGAAAATATTTAAAACCATTATTAAAAAAGAGAAGGAGAAGAAAGGAAGGAAGAAGAAATGGGGCGGGGGGGGGGAGGCAGTAAAGAAAGGTACGACCTCACAGCCAGGAAACACCTGAGTCTGAATATAGTTGGCTTCTTACTTCTGCAAGGCCCCAACCTCTTCCATTGTCCATTAAACCCTCTTTTCATTGTTATGTACAGTGAGACCAGACCCTTGGTCTGATTTCATAGAATATCAAAGCTGGAAAGAACTGTTGAGATGATCTCCAACCCCCTTGTTTATGTATAAACAGACTGAGGCCAACAGAGGGAAATGACTTTATCAGGTACCTAGCTAGTGGCAGAGCTAGGGCTAGAACCCAGGTCTCTTGGTCCAGAGGTAGATTCATGAGCTCAAGAGTATCTACAAGTATCTGTAGAGCCAGTGGGACCTGGAAAGGGGTGGTTGGGCCATGTGGTTTCTGTATCCTCTGGCAGCTTCAGTGTTCTGTGATTCCATGTGTCCAATGGCTCCTGTGTTTATTACCATTGAAAATTCTTTTTCTGATTCAAGTATGTTTAGGAATGAGGCTTTTTATTTAAATCAGAGGCTAAGGATTAGGGGCACCTCAGAGACTGATCACCTACAAAGAGGACAAAGGGTTGGGAAAGTGTCCAGCACCAGATCTTCTGATTTAAAAGGGTAGATGGCCAGGGGAGGCGCTGGGAGGTGCTCAGATCCCAGTGTCCAGCGGTAGGCATTCTGGGCGCTGGAAGAGAGTTAACCAAGTAGAACATGAAGCATTAAGGAGCAACACTCCTCATTTAAACATTCTTGCTGCAGTGGGTGGCCTGGAGCAATAATCAACAGGCGTTTGACACTTGTCAGACACTAGTCTGACTCACCGAACCCTGTTCCCTGGTGCTCCTTCCCCACCACCTCCTCGCCCAAGAGAGGAAGGTGAAGCAATGCGTGCGTACAGCAACCTCCGCCACACTGTCCCTGTCCTGGCAAGCAGTCAAAGTACAGAAGAGAGGGCCCCTGCAAGGAAAAAAGGAAAACATTTCTGTTCTACAAAACACATATTTTATTTTCTGATTCCATTGTGGGAATTTGGGAAGTATAGAAAACACAAAGAGGAAAATAAATGCCATCCACAATCCTATCACATATGAAAAACTGTTATTTGGATTTGGATGAATTTCGTGCTAGTCTTTTGAAATTTTCTCTGTGTAAACACATTTGAATAAACACATACATTTTTTTTTTTCCAAAATGAGATTGTTCTATACTTAACTATTTTCAAACCCATTTTTCCCAAAGTGAAATCATGTATTATGAACACTCTCCTTGGAAAGCCTCCATTTTACTCCATTTCCGTCCATCCTAAGCAGTGGCAGGGGCACTGGCAGCAGCCGTGGGGTGTTATGGGGAGGTTCTTGGTCCATCCAACTACAGGGCCACAGAGCACTTGACCACCAGGGGCGCCCTCAGCCCCTCAAACACCAGGGTCCCGGGTTGGCATCTCGGTGGCCTGATCTCTATTTCTAAGGTTAACAACAGAGATGTCCTAGACCAGTGATGGCGAACCTTTTGAGCTCGGCGTGTCAGCATTTTGAAAAACCCTAACTTAACTCTGGTGCCGTGTCACATACAGAAATTTTTTGATATTTGCAACCATAGTAAAACAAAGATGTCTATTTTTGATATTTATTTTATATATTTAAATGCCATTTAACAAAGAAAAATCAACCAAAAAAATGAGTGTCATAGGTTTGCCATCACTGTCCTAGTGCGTGCATGACTCTGGTCATGTTTTCTCACACCATGAGATCTGCGTTTTTTACTTATTAATTTTTAAAAATTTTCACCCCATTAGAAAACGCTTGTGGATGTTACTCTGGAAAATAGCAGCATTAAGGATCAAATCAGAAACCTGCAGCAGACGTATGAAGCGTCCATGGACAAGCTGCGGGAAAAGCAGAGGCAGTTAGAGGCTGCGAAAGTTGAAAACCAGCTGCTGAAAATGAAGGTAAAGGAGGGCGGGGGGTAGATTTCTTACTAACTTCTCTCTTTCCTTCTTCTCTCTCCTCCCGTCTTCAGCTCTTCCATTTCTTTTTCTCTGTTCTCTTTCTTGAATTTTCTCACCTTTTTGGGATCAACCCCAGAGGGCTTGGCTTAAAGGCACGAGGAAATTTCTGTGCTCACAAACGTCAGTCCAGATTGGGGTGCCCATGACGCCCCCACTGGGCGCCCCTGCCTTGCGCCCACTGGCCTCCAGGGCTGCTGCGACAGTCCCTTGGCACTGCTGTTAGTAGTGAGAGGCACTCGGGATGCCTCAGGTCTGCGATTTCAGCAGCTTCACTGTTGAGATTTTCTCTGAGGCCCCAGCTTTTCTGTGCGGTTTGACAAGAAAGAGGTGAAGGACACACAGAAAGACCCCCGATGGTGGCCAAGGACTCTGGGCAAGGTCCCTCTTGCTCACCAGGCTGTGCTTAGTCCACTGCTGGGCTCCTGCTGCCCTCCCACATGTGAAACCTACTTTGACCCACTCTGTACTGAGTGTCTACGGTGTGTCTGTCCTGGGCGTTCCTGTTTATTCCAGGGCTGGCATCCGGCGTCTGGGTACATCGTTAGGCAGTTTGGCAGACTGGCTCCTTCCAAGGAGACCAAGCGCCTAAATCCAGCCTGCAGTTGCCTGTTTTAGAGACCAATGCTCTACTTGACCCCCAAATAAATAAAGTTATAGGAGTCAGAGCGTCTCACATGACCTGGATGCAGAGGAATCAGGACTCGGGTGCCGAGCCCTTTTCGAAGTCCCTGTTTGCAGTGGAAATGGGGTGCAGGATGCGTTGGGTCTCTCTCAGCTGATGACAACTCTGTTCAGGATTTTCCATTTTCTGGCTTCTGGGTACCAACGGGTGTCTAGTGACAAGAAGGGTGGGTTAGAGGGCATCTTTGCAGTAAACATCATGTGATCTATCGAGGTTGAAATACACCTCGCTTATCCAGGGTGACATATCCAGCAGATTCAGCATTCTAGAACAAGTGGTAGCTGGAAGGAAGGGCTGCAGACAGCATGAGGTCAATGGCATGAAGTTCACAGGCAAGTGTAGGGCCACCTCCCCCCGAAGCCCTGCCCACCCACCACTCCACTGACTTTTCTCGTCTCCTAAGCTGGGTCTGCCCGAGGCACGGGGAGCCCCCAGCTGAGTGTGGCCCAAACCAGGTGGGAATGTTTCCAAATGCAACATTTGGGGAAGCACAAAGGTATGGAAAGGATGAGTCCGAATTTCTTACAGGAGCTTAAGTCTTTCCTAGTGATTTATTGGTTAGTGCAACCAAGGGGGCAGCTTCAACTCCACGTGGACAACTTCTCTTCAACGGCCTCCCTGCTTTTCTGACATAATCTGTGTAAAGTAAAAAATGAACATACGGGAGGAGGGAGGGGGCGGAGTCAAGCAATATGAAAGGTGATCTAGAGATATGCCTGCACCATTTTACATTCTCAGCAGCAGGCTAAGAGGATTCCCGTTTCTCCACATTCTCAACACCGCGTGTCACTGTGGCCTCACTGCTGACGACCATCCTAGTGCGTGGGAAGTGGTTCCTCACTGCGGTGTGCATGTCCCTGCCGACGAGTGATATTGGGCATCAGTTCTTGTGCTTACATCTGTGCCTCTTCTTTGGAGTGTCTGTCAGACCCTTTGCCCATTTTTAAATCGGGTTGTTTATATTTTATTATTGAGTTATAATTATTATTTATATATTCAGGATGTAAGTTACTAGATATGTGATTTGCAAGTATTTTCTCACTCTCGCCCAAATATTTTCTCCCATCACTTTCTTGATGGTATCCTTTGAAGCACAGAAGTTTGTTTAAAGGTCACAAAGATTTACCTCACGTTTTCTCCCAAGAGTTTTACAGTTTTAGCCTTTGCATATACGCCTGTGATCCATTTTGAGGTAATTTTATACGTGGTGTGTTAGGGGCCCAGTTTTATTCTTTTGCATGTGTCCACCCAGATGTGCATCACCATTTGTTGAAATGTCTGTTCTTTTCCCATCAAGTGGTCTTGATAGGTAATTTTTTGAAGCTTAATTTTTTATAACAAGGAAATTATTATTTGGCTTCAAAGTCAATGCTACAAACAAAACAAAGTATATTCAGAAATAGATTATTTATATCTGTAATATCCCCTTTCCACTCCTACTTCCCCCTTCCTCTTCCAGATAGCCTTTTAGTTTTTTAACTTTAGAGTTTATTCTGCTCTGACCCAATTCTAATAATGTAGAAATCTTATTTCTCAGCCCACACAGAATACTTAAGGCTTAAAAAGAACAAATTTTTCTGGGGTCTATTAGGGCTTGGACCTATTATGCAGAGGAAAAGGTTTACTAAAATGAATAGAATAAAAAATAGTTAAATTTCAGGATCAAAAGAACATTAGACAGGAAAAGTCATTGAAGAATGGGGTTAATAACACAGGGGAGCACAGCCACATTTTATAGAGAATTCAAGTTAAAAATGCCTACATTTGGGAGGCCAGTGTAATACCTAGGTAAGTTTCCACCTCTTGAAAAATTTGCTCATGCAGAACACTTTCCTGTTACCAAGTAAGTTAGTATAAGGTGCCACCTTTCAGTTTCTATGCACCTGTTCACCCCCTTTCCTTCTGCCTTCGATCCCTTTGCCCGTGAGCTCCTGCTGCCTCTCTTCTGCCGAGCCCGGGGGGGTGGGCCCCCTCCTCTGTGTGTCCACCCGTGACACGTACAGAGTGAGAAGGGCTGGTGCCCTGGCACCGGGGAAGCTGCCGCTCTGAAACGGGTGTCTCTGTAGGTGGAGTCCTCCCACGCAGCCAACGCCGAGGTGTTGAGGGAGATGACCAGGAAGCTGTACGGCCAGTACGAAGACAAGCTGCAGGAGGAGCAGCGGCGGCACAGCGCCGAGAAGCAGGCGCTCCTGGTACGTCGCGGTGCGGACAGAGCAGAGCAGGGCTTTTGGTTCCGTTTTGTCGCTGAGGTTCGGACATGGGGGTGGACAAAAGTAGGTCACACTTGTTAGTATGGAAAATAATTCGAGAATGAGTAAATCATAATACAAACTCTGTGTTTGGCATACTCACAACTGTATTCCTACTTGTGCCCCACCCTGTGGTAGGGTTTCTGGTTGGAGAGAGTTGGTGAGGGCTACTGAGTGAGGGCTCAAGGAATTTATTGTTTGCTCATCCACTCCCTTCCCTTCTCCCTCCTTTCCTTTACTCATCTCCCTCCCTTCTCAGAATAGCCCCCAGTCTCTGGCTCTGAATCCATCCCTTTCTCTCGCGAATCTGACCATTCGCCAGCATCCAGGCAGGTCTTGGGCCTGCAGCTGTGTCCTTCCTCTCCCCACTTGCTCCTCTCTCCCTGGAATTTCCTCCTTCCTGTCCCCCGATCCTACCCACATTACCCTAGAGCTGTGAAAGTGAGGGCCTGCCATTCCCACAGCCGGCAGCATCCTGCCCTTGGGAAGCCCGCACGCTCTCCCCGCCCTTTGCGTGGCCTTCTCTGTACCTGTTATCGGAGACGGGCTGTATGCCTCACACCTTGGCTTCCCTAGGACAGCATTCGTTTCTTGAAGGCGGGGACTCCAGGTCTGCCCTAACCTGTGTCCTTACAGGTGTCATGAATGTGCCGAGAGATGATTGAGCTGGTGCTTTGCAATAAGGGAGAAAGATGTGGGCATTCTGCATTCAACTCCAGATCTGGCCTTCACCCCTTCACGTTGTTGGCATATACGCTGACATTCTGAGTGTCTAGTCAAGGGCTAAGTAACCTTCACAGGCTCGTTTTAGACATAAAGAGTCAAGGGGAAGGGGGGTGGGGGGAATGACTAGGCTTATTAAAAAGCCACGTGATGCAGCTAGGCCCCAACGTCATGCATTAGAGGCAGCGTTAGCAACACCCTGGTTGGTAGTCTAGGGTCTCCGTGGCTCTGCTGAGGACAGTGTGTTGCTTTTGCAGGAAGAAACCAATAGTTTCCTGAAAACGATTGAAGAAGCCAATAAGAAGATGCAGGCGGCAGAGATCAGCCTGGAGGAGAAAGACCAGAGGATTGGGGAGCTGGACAGGCTGATCGAGCGCATGGAAAAGGTAACAGAACAGATCCTGTCGATTCCGCTCGCCCAGATGCCCGGCTTTTCCGCAGCCCCCCTGCAGGCCTGTGTGAGGCCTCAGACGCCCATAGCCCTGACAGCTCTCAGCCCTGCAATGTGTGAGTTCAAAGAAAAGACCCAACTGTCAAAGTATGGGAAGTCCACAAATGTTCTCATTTTTCCCCGGTGACCATTTTAATGCTTTAATAAGCATTACATATAAAATTATCTATAAAAATGAATATTTTAGTGGCTCTGCTTTGCTGGGGTCTCAAGCATGAACTTAGTTGCATGGTCAAGTCCTATTTAGATGTTACATCTGCACCCCAAGCCTGTTGTTTCTGGGACGTGTGTCTGAAGGGTGGCTTTTCTCTGACACCCCACATTTCAGAGTGGGGGCAGCACCTTTCTCTGTGGGTGGGGACAGGGGCTGTGTGGGGAAGGCAGGCGCTCAGCTGAGATAATGAAGCGTAGAGAAAGGGAGGAGGCCAGAGATTAGGCAGAAGTGGAGAAAAGGGAAGAAAGGGTGGAGAGAGGAAAGAGAAAAGGAAGGAAGGGAGGGGAAAAAGAGGGGCCTGTGACCTTTAGCAGGTGACAGCTGACTTCTGGGAGAGGGGTGGTGGCTGAGAGCCAAGCCTGGGACTGATTTCTGGAAAATGGCTCACATGTGAGTTTGCAGAACAGAGGTGATCTGCCAGGACCCTGACGTAGCAGCACCCCGCACTCATGCTGGGTGCTGAGATTCTCCAGGTTGATGATGGTGAGAGGGGGAATGAGGACGTGAGCAAGGCCAACATCTGGGCTTCCAATAGTGATTCTGAGAAGAGGTCTCCTTACCCCCATGTCTGCAGCTTAAGCCCCTCCCCTGACAAGGTGAGGTTGACCCTGAGTGGGAAGGGCATTGAATTCAGTGCCATGGAGCTTCGGCCTTGCTGGGGTTCCCCTCCGAAGGAATATTGGTATTTGGGAGGGGCTTGAACAACTAAAGAGTCAATGACCATTTCACCTCTACCCTGGAAAACAGAACCTGCCCTTTATTGAAGAGAGGATGTGAGGTGTCAGTGTTGGTGGGAGGTGGTGACAGTGAGGATCCGGCAGCAGGGGCGTATTCTAGGACTCGGGAGGGAGAGCGGGCTCCATGCTCCTGCTCTCCTACAAGAGCAGAAGATGCCCATTCACACACGCGCTCCCTCCAGGTGACAATTTGCACATTAGGCTTTTATAGATACAGATTATTGTGGAGGCCACAAGTTCTGAAATCAGTGTGTTGGCAGGGCTGGGCTCCCTTTGGAAACTCCAGAGGAGAACCATTTCCTGGCCTTTCCTAACTTCTCAGACCACTCGTATGCCTGGACTCATGGCCCCTCCCCCAGCTTTGGAAAAGCAGGTAGCATTTCCAATCTCCGTTTCTCTCTGTCTCTGACCGTCCCTCCAGGAAGGGCCCAAATGGATCATCCAGGGTAATTTTCTGTTAATCACACCGGCAAAGTTCCTTTTCTCAAGTAACATGGCATATGCAGGTTTCAGAGATCAGGATGTGGACATTGTTGGGAGCTGTTGTTCTTATGACCGCAGTATATTTTTGCAGGTGAACATACCTATGTAACCCCCCGCCCCCCAAGTTAGTCTGTAGGCAATATAGAGCCTCGTTAGTTGCTACAGAAAATAATCAAGAATTTTGCAGTATCACAGGCCACTGATAGAGAGTATTGATTGTCACTATTTAGAACTACAAATTTCACAAGGCATCTGAGCCTAGGCTGACAGAATACTGTGAAAGGCTCTATCCAAGATGTTTGTCTCTAACTCATAAATATGCCTGGAAACACACGCCAACAAGTTTGGCATTTTTGAGCTTCGTTAGGACTCTGGTGAGTGGGTGGGTACAACTCACAGTGTGTTGCATATGGACGTGAGCTCCCCAGTGCTGGAATTGACAGAGGTACACGTTCCCTGTCCAACTTGGTGTAATCCACTGGGGAACATGCCAGTGTCTGTCTGTTTTAGGAACGCCATCAGCTGCAACTACAACTCCTAGAGCACGAAACAGAAATGTCCGGGGAAATAACAGACTCTGACAACGGAAGGTAAGATGCAGTGCCCTTTATCTCGTGGTGGGTTTTGATGGTGGACGTGCTGTGTGCTTGTGGGCTCACTTGGTCCTTTCATTTTTCACTCACCTGGTCATCTCTTCCTGCAGAAAACAGTGCGGGAGAGCTTCCCGCATGGAGCTGGTTTCTTTAGGAGCCTAACAGCCACACCCTACCGCCCTGGCCCAGGTTTTAATTTTGCACAGTCACAGTGCAGAAGTTCAGGCTGCCAATGTCCCCCATAACCTTGAGCTCCACAGGGTGCACCTTGTTGATGAGAGAACATCAACTATGATTAGTATCGTTGCCGTGGGAGCTAACTTTAAAATGTCATTCTGTGTTTCCAAACATGGCTTGGCCAGATCTTGGCTGGTCCCCTGTCTCCGAGTGTACGAAGCCCTGCGTGGAAAATGCAGGAGCGCACAGACTCTTCTAGAAATGAAAAGGCTGAAAGGCCTTGCGGGGCCCCTTCGTGAAGGGGAACAAGGTTGGGATGAGTTGAGCATTTGGGGCAAGTTCCTTATCCTCCCCGCGATCTGGGAAACGGGAATTCTTTTTTAAAGGAGGAGGGGGTTGTGCTGATCATAACAGCGTCCATCTCACTGGGTTATTATTATGAGGGACATGTTGAACGTACTGCCCGCCACATAGCATTTGCTGAAAAAATACCCGTTTTCCTTCCTCTTATGTAACTTCAGAGTTTGCGGAGTTATAGGGGTCTCGCCTGGTCTTTAATGTAGCGCTGAGGAGGGACCTGGCAGAGGTGGGAAGGGGTGAGCTCACCACCAGACCCTGCACCAGTGTCCGGTCCAGGGCCCCCGCGAACCGAAGGGCCCATCTGCTGGGTCCTTTGGTTTCTTTGAAACCACCAAAGTCAGAGAATAATTTTTGCTGTTTTAAAGCCGAAGTGTGAAATGTTGTGCGATGTAGTTCCGTCTGTTTTGGTGAAGAGAAGGTCTTTCAACCTGTTTCCCATTCTTCCACAATAATCTCACATAGAACAAGGGTGATTCCAGCCTTGCCAGGGCTCTGTTGGGAGCTCTCATTTCAGATATTCTGTTGTGTTGCTAGATGCCTCTCCTTCTCCGTTCCCTTAATCAACGTAACTTCCTGCATGTCCCAATATCCTGTTAACTCCAAAACTGACAGCCTCTCATACCTGTAAGTGGTACCAGCAGATTCCCTCTCGGTGCCTGGGAAGTCTAACTGTCCTTATACAGAGGAAACGTACAAGTGGGAACGTGAAAAGAGCCCTCTGGTCCTTCTACGGTGAGGGGGTTGTTTGAGGTAATCACCTAGGACCTGCATCTTGGCGTTCCCCTTCTTGTTCTTGGCAACAGTCCGTCCCAGCGGTGACTCTCGGTGCCGTGCCGCTGCTGTGGTGTGGGGCTCAGGGGCTCTCTCCTCTGTCCTGTTAGGTATCAGCAGCTGGAGGAGGCGTCGGCCAGCCTCCGGGAACGGATCCGACATCTGGATGACATGGTGCATTGCCAGCAGAAGAAGGTCAAGCAGATGGTTGAGGAGGTAAGCGCTCGTCAGAGGTCATGGGCCGGGGTTGCTTCCTGCAGTGGGGACATTTCAGCCCTGCGGCCAGATCTGCCCTCAGCTCAGTGTTCCGGGGCTCACAGTGGACGCGCTCAGATCACCCATGTTGGTCCCGAGGGAATTTCCTGGTATGTCCCCCCTGCTGATTATCCCTCCAAAGGAGGGTCTTCTCCAGATCAGAGGTGACAGTTAGTAAGCCATGCGGTGCAGGGCATAGCTCACCCACTCTTAGAGGGCAGCAGCACCCTCTACCCTAGGCGGGTGCCTGCAGTCCAGGGAGCAAAGCGAAGTTTGACAAGGAAAGTTTAATTCAGCTCGGGTCTCTACACTGCCCCCTGCCTGCCTCCCCGGGCTACTACTCGTCCTTTCTTCATTTCTGGTGTGTCTCTCATTCCCTTTTCCTGCCTGTTCCTTTCTCTTTCTTCTGCCTTCTCCCCCCATTCTCTTATTCTATTTCTGTTTCTTCATCTTTTCACTTTCTACCATCCATTCTCTCCTTAAGTGCCTATGTGTGAAACCACGTTGTAGGTTTATTATACGCTGGGCATAGTTTACTATTCTATTTTTTTTTAAATGAAAAAACAGATAAGTTGAATATTTATATTCTCTAAGAGAAAAAAAATTCTTTTACCCGTGTTAATTGTATTTTTCTCTCCTTGTGGTGATTGCTCAAAGAAGAAAGTTTAATGCTTTTGAAAAGCCAGTAACATTTTATTGTAATT